TAGTTGCCCTCCCCTCTCCCAGCCTCTCTCTTCCCCTCTCCCACCTCCTTTTCCCAGTCTCCCCCAGTTTTGTTCAATAAAGACAGATTCCATTTTGGAAGACATGTTATCTTTATTTTGTACATCAAGAAGAGGGGCTAGGGAAGGGTAAGTGGAAGGAGGTGAGGGAGGAATGGGGTACGAGCCCCCAATGGGGAGGACTGGGCTGGCTCTGCGGGCTTCTGGGGGTGGAAGCTCTCCTGCAGACCCCAATTGCCCCCTCTCCCCAGATGGCAGCCTGCGGCAAGTGCAGCCGGGCTGATGGCCGAGTGCTGTGATGTGCCCAGTGTGGGCACTCCGGGCAATCCAAGCCAGGACTGCTTTGCAAGCGGGGCACCCCTGAGAACTGTCTGTCCGGGGTGGGGTTCGGGTCCCTTTAAGCACAGCCCTCGGCTAGCCTGAGACAGCATCTCCACGCTCTAAGTCCTCCTCTGATGCCCTGCCGGCACTGCTTCCGGCCATCCTTAAGCCCGGTTCAGGGTCCACTTAATGTGGACATGCTAGTTTGAATTAGCAAAACGCTAATTCGAACTAGTTTTTTAGTCTGGATCCGTTAGTTCGAATTAGCTTAGTTCGAATTAACTAATTCGAATTAAGTTAGGTCGAATTAACGTTGTAGTGTCCACGTATCCCTATTGACTTCAGTGGAATTACACCAGGGATGTTGTTGATTCCAGCGCTTTTGCTTTGAAGGCTTTATGTGCCCCAAAAGCCAGAGGCTTGCTTTAAAAAAAATGCTCCTCCAGGGGATTGGGTACCTCTGCTGTTCAAATTTAATTAAAAAAAAATTATGAACACCACTATCAAATAGCTGCCTTTTAAAAGAGTACTAGAGATCCAGTATATGGACCTGATTTCCAGAAACATCTCACTATTTTGTGAGAGCAGTTTTGCACCTGCAATTAGTTGTGGGCACATCTTATAGAATTTGGACATCTAAGCAGGGGGAGGGGTGTTGGATTCAGGAAGTGGCCCTTGTGACACAGAGGCTGGCAGAGATGGCAAGGCAGGATGAGGAAAGCCACTGTTGAGGCAGCAGAAATTGGTTGGTGTTACCTCAAATTGGGAAGGAAATCTGACTGAGCATTGCTACGTTCTCTGGTTCATGTCTGTCACCTTTCTTCTGTTCTTCTCACCCTATTGTTCTAATTTATTCATATAGCCCCCATCTCCATAGTTTTTAAATATTTTCTCCACAGCACCTTTTCCGGAGCCCTTTTCCAGAGGATCTGGCCAGTGTAGACGCTCTTTTCCGGCTTTTCTAAAAGCCGGAAAAAAGCGGCGGACATTTTTATTTAAATACCGCGGGGGATATTTAAATCCCCCGCGGATTTCCCTATTACGATCTCAAAAATTACCATGCCCCTTCCGGAAAAGGGGCCAGTGTAGACGTAGCCCTAGTGTGGCACTTAGGCCACATACAGCGAGAGACAAAAACAAGGGAGCTCTAAAGCCTAAGCTGAGAAGCAGCTGGCTTTGTAGCTTAAGTTATAGAGGCTCCTATACTAAGATCCAGAGATCCCAGGTGTCAAATTTCCAGTGGCAGTTACACTGGCACTTTACCCACTGATACATCCTTTTTCTATAGTGGCTCTGCACAGAAAAGGCCTCTGTTCTGGAACAGAGTCTATGTCCACTACAGCAACATTTTAGACAGGAAGGTAATTTCTAGAGCTATGCAAAACTCAGGAGTTTCACTTCTCAGGGTTCCAGGAGAACTTTGACTTTAGCTTCAATCCATAGGGGGCTGTCAGTTTTCGACGCAACTGACCAAAACAATAACAGCAACAGTGATCATTTTGATTTTATTTGTCTTCCGATTAATACTGAAAGCGCCCAGAAGAATTTGAAGCCCTACCAGTGAGGCTAACAGCATGGCTGGGCCCCTGAGTAAGGTGGGGAGGGGCACTGATCTGCACCCTCAGAAGGAGTGGGGCCTCAGAAAAGGCAGGGTTGGCGCTAGGTAACCCTAAGAGCTGCCTGGAGCGCACCATCTCTTCCCTCTCTCTCCCCCCCCCAATCCCTCAGTGCTGCCTGGAGCACACCACACGGGGCTTTAGAAGCAATCTAAAGGGCTTGAGGCTGTAGCTGAGAATTTCAGGCCATTTTTTTAGCAGCCGCCGTGGGGCAGTTGCCCCCTTTGCCCCTCCCCCCATCAGTGGGCCTAGGCTTCTCTGTATGTGTGTACACTCACACTCACACTCAAGAGTGCACAGTTTGCCTCGGCAATGCCAGACAAAGGGTGAGAGAAAGGAACTAACTGAGGTACAACATGATTATGTGAGTTGCCCAAGGTCACAGATAAGGTGTAGCAGAGCTGGAAAGTGAATTCTCCCAAATACCAGACTAGTGCTTTAGCCACAAGAACTTTGTTTCCCTGGAAGGATTGTCAGATAACATACAAGGGATTTTTAGCTGACAGCAGAAATCTTGTCAATTACTGCAGTTCTGACCCGACATCGAGTGGATGTGAACAGGTGTGGGGCTCGGAGCAAAGCTTTCAATGACCTTAGGCCTAAATTGCTATCTAATGACAGTAGATCAAACTAAGCAAAAGTTGCATGGCCTTGGTTTCATTAAAAAAAAAAAAAAAAAAAAAAGATTTGCACTGCTCTCAAAAATCTCCTCAGATGATCTCAAACCGTAGGAATATCTTTCCTCCTGGGGAAGCCATTATTAAACCAGGGCACTGTGGACAAATCCATAGCTACTGCATTTCAAAGAGAAGTTTTACACTCCAAACTAAGAGGCTGACCCCAGGGTCTTGTGTGGGTAGAAACCAAGCAGAGTAAAGTTAAGTGTGTGGTTGACTGTTTAACCCAGCGTGTCTTATTTTACTTGACCTGTTATGATACAATATGCTCACATTTAAAGAAATGTCAAACGCTGAACTTAGCACAAAGCCATGGGCTAGAGAGACGAAGGGCTGGAAATCTACAGGGTGCCAACCCTTACCATAAAGGATGATTTGATGAAAATATACCAGTTTAAATGGACTTTCCAGGAGCCACTGCTGCCATGGCAGTAGCAGAGGGGGCTGGAGTCCCAGACCTCTTTGAGTCACCAGGCCCTGGGTCAGTTGCCCTTTTCTCCTCCCTTCCCCCTATGGGCAGGCCTGTTGTGTAACCGTTTGTTTCCAGCTCTTGCGCGTTTCCAGTTAAATTCTTATTTTTTTCTCAAATTCTTTTGTGTTCTAGTATAAGGGCTCTAAAGTGCTGTGGGGGAGGAGGGGTTCAGGTTAAACTGGGGTTCACTGTATCTTTGGAGGCAGAGGAGCTGGAATTTCTGTGGTGAGCCAGCATCAGGAGCTGGATGTCTTAGGGGAATGCTTCACAAGGTTGTGGAGTGGAGTGAACCTATTATTAACCGAGCAAGATAAAGACAAGGCCAGCGTGGCTTAGAAGAGAATGAGGAAGAGCTAGGGAGCCCACCTTGAACTATAAGGAAGACTGCCTCTTACTTGAGATCAGGTATAACAAGAGGCCCCAGAACAATCTTGGTAAGTTAAAGCTATTTGCATGAGTAAGGTTTGTGAAACAAGGCCTTTGACCATTAATCTATTGGGATCAGTGCTTAATGCTTCAAATGATCTTTGAGACTTGAAGACACAGAATTAATAACCTATCTCCATGCCATAATTTCATATGCAGCCCAAGAACCACTAATTTCAAAAGACTCTTTGTGAGATTACACCAAGCACGGTTCAGAATATATCCCGAACACTCTTCGCTACACTTCAGTAAATCAGATAAACATGCCTTGCCACACTTCAATTCAGAAGGAGAATCTGGGGGCAAACTGTAAACAGAAGGAAATAGCAAAAAGACCAATAAAACCCAATTCTGATCTCATACTGCTAGCCAGACTAGGCAACTGGGATAAATAAAGTCACACGGTTCTTCTACATTTATGATTCCTTCTTATCATTACTTAGCTCTCCCCAGAACAAAAACGAGTCTGTGGGGGGGATGAGGTTACACGCCTTTCAACTGACAATGTTTAAGAAATGGGGAACCATATGGTTCTGAGTCAGTTCAGTTGTGAAAGCCAGGAAATTAATCTAAGATTTATTAGAGCTGGCAAGAGTAACCCAGTGGCATTGCTTCTTTTGTTTTCTGCCAACAAATCCTCTGTGGTACAGAGCTTTACCTTAAACAGCAATTGCTCGGTAGGCATATGGGCTTTATTTCTGCAAATGGCAACAGAGATTAGTATTTGCAAATCAAATTGGAGCTCTCTTCCCTCTGCAACCCCAAGTTCCTAGTCAGGCTTCACTCCTATTAGGAGGAAACTGGATTTCCACCTCCTTTCTCTAATGCACTTGCTCTGTTGATTCAAGATACCTTTCTGCTGCAGCACTGTAACAGGAAGAATGAAATGACCATTTAAATGTCACCAAGAAAATAAAGATTATTCTAATAAAGTGCTCCAACAAATAGCTCCATGAATATGCTTAGATCCACAAAGAGACAGACTCATATTCTCAGCTGTTGCCAGTTCAATGAATATTTAATTAAATTGGAATGGCTTCAACAAGAAACCCACATTAGAAAAGCCTCTACTCCACTGGCTCAGGCATTTGACTAAGAGGTCCCTCTTCAAATCCCTAATCCCTCACCAGGCCGAAGGGGGAATTGAACGAGGGTCTCTGCAACTCAGGTGAGGACTCTTATCCAGGAGTTTTTAGCTTATTTTCCATTGTGGTCAACATAGGCAGCTCTTTATGGGTACGTCTAATCTGCAGCACTATTTCGGGATATTTCTGCTATCCTGAAATAGCTATTTTGCAACTTTTAAGCAAGCCCATTATTTCAAACTATAACAGGCTCGCTATTCTGACGTCCCTGTAAACCTCGTTCCATGAGGATTAAGGGATGTTTCGGAATTGCAGTTTCCAAATTTGGTGCAGTGTAGGCAGTGCCAAATTACAAAATAAGCTACCTCAAAATTAACTCACTATAAGCTATGCAATTTAGATGTAGATACAGTGTGCATGCACCCTATGTGTTATATAGGCTGCATCCACACAATATATATACTACCTTCATGACCCTGATGCTGTCACATGGGATGCAGCTATGTGCTGATTGGGCAGCAAACAACCCCTGGGCCACAGGCAAGTGTGTCAGCCCCACTATTCTAACTACTGTGCTCAGTGGGGCCGACAGACTCGCTGGGCCAGGTTGGGGGGAGGCAGCTCAGCACGCCTGAAAGGGGCATGGTCTCGGGCAGAAGGGACAGGGTTAGAGTCAGCCAGCCCTGAGTACCCTGCCCTACCCCCACTCCCAGCCCTCAGAGCTGCCTGGTGCATGCTGCGCCACACTCCGGCTCCCAGTCACTGCCACTCCTGTAGTAACAGCAGCAGCTGGCATCCCTGGGCCCTTTTGAATCACCAGGCCCTGGGACAATTGCCCCCTTTACTCCTCCCCTCATCAGCACGCCCGACTACGCTAAAGCTAATAAGGGAAGCTGCTGCCGCCTCTTCCCTCCACAGCCATTTTGTGTGAAGCTATGTTCTTTGAGCACACCTACCAGCTCAGGCCTCACAAGGAAAGTAGGTGGAGGAATGTCTATCCTCACCTGGTTTCAAGATCACACTGGGGCTCAGCTATGTGCCGGGGAAGATAATGGAGCAAGTAATTAAGGAATTCATCCGCAAACATCTGGAAGATAATAAGGTGATAAAAAGCAGCTGGCATGGATTTGTAAAGAACAAATCATGTCAAACCAATCTAATAGCTTTCTTTAATAGGATATCAGGCTTTGTGGATAAGGGAGAAGTGGTGGACATGGTACACCTAGACTTTCATAAGGTATCTGTTACAGTCTCGCATGACCTTCTTATCAATAAACTAGGGAAATACAACCTAGATAGGGCTAATACAAGGTGGATGCATAACTGGCTGGATAACCATTCTCAGAGAGTAGTTATTAATGGGTCACAATCATGCTGGAAGGGCATAACAAGTGAGGTTCCGCGGGGTCTGCTTTGGGACCAGTTCTGTTCAATATCTTCAACAACAATTTAGACGATGGCATAGAGAGTAGGCTTACTTACTAAGTTTGCAGATGATACCAAGCTGGGAGGGGTTGCAAGTGCTTTGGAAGACAGGGTCATAGTTCAAATTATCTGGACAAACTGGAGCACTGGTCTGAGGTAAATAGGGTACTTGACACCATCAAGTATATCTCTTGAGATATTTAAGAACAGGTTAGATAAATGTCTATCAGGGATGGTCTGGACAGTATTTGGTCCTGCCATGGGGGCAGAGGACTGGACTCAATGACCTCTCGAGGTCCCTTCCAATCCTAGTATTCTATGATTAAACCCTGGAATAAATTGCCTAGAGAGGTCGTGGCATCTGCATCATTGGAGATATTTAAGAGCAGGTTGGATAGACATCTATCAGAGATGACCTAGACTGTGCTTGGTCCTGCTGTGAGTGCAGGGGACTGAATTTGATGCTCTCTCAAGGTCCCTTCCAGTTCTAGTATTCTATTTGGATGCTTGCCTGAGGCAATAATGTGCATGCTTTGAGGCAGGGACTTAGGAACCTAAGGATCTTTCATAGTGAAAATGTGGATGCTGAACAAGTTCAGGCCTCTACAAGGCTACGTGATAGTCAAGGGGTGGAGGTATGGCTCAGAGTATTAACTCAAATGAGTGTGTGTGTTAAATGCCTAAAACTGGGATTCTGGCACCTGTATCAGATTTCAAATAACTAGGTGACTGGGCCACAAAATGGAAGATGAATTTTAATGTAGATAAAATGCAAAGTAATGCATATTGGAAAACTAGGGTTGCCAGACGGTTTAATAAAAAACCAACAACCCCCCCATCCAAAAAAAAAAAAAAAAGCATGGGGAAAAAATTCTGCTGAGGGTGGGGGTGGGAGAAAAAAAAAGGAGGGGGGTGTGTGACCAAAGCAAAAAAAAAAAAGGGGGTGCTGAGCCTGACATGTGAGGGGGAGGAGCTTTTACCACATCTTACACTACTGCCTCCAGTATGGGGTCACACACTAATCGCCAATGCACCCACCTCTTCCCCTGAGCCAGGCCACCCAACTCCCCCATCCCAGTGCATTCACGCCTCCCCCAGAGCCAGTCACCCCAGTGCCCCCCATCCCAATGCTCTCACCCTTGCCTCAGAGCCAGGCTCCCCACAGCGTCCCCCATCCCAATGCACTCACCTCTGCCTCAGAGCCAGGCATCCCCCACCGCAATCAAATCCCCTCCCGAGTCCTTCCCCCCACCCCTGCAGAGCCAGGCACTGGAGGAACGGGAGGGCAGGGTAAGGAAATCTTACTTTTAAAGTCGCTGCTGCCACCCAGCTCGCAGTGTGTAGCGAGAGGAATCACGTGGCCAGCTCCTGGGTCTCTGCTCCTACCCCAGCCCAGTGCCCCCCTAGCGTGGCACCCGGCAAGTGCCCCCTCCTGCCCCCCCTTCGCTACGTCTCTGCCGCACTCCTCACTCCCTTGTCCCCACCAGACGCAGCAGGGGGAAATTGTCCCCACCAGGCTTCCGTCGGAGGGAAACAGGAAATAGCAGACATCTCACAAGTCCGGTATTTTCTGTTTGTTTTTATTTAACCGGACGGGGGACCTGAATAACGGACAGTCCAGGTGAAAACCAGACACCTGGCCACCCTATGTAAAACATAATCCCAACTATACATACAAAACAATCGAGCCTCAAATAGTTATTACCACTCAAGAGAGATCTTGGAGTCATTGTGGATAGTTCTCTGAATAGAGCCACTCAATGTGCAGTGATAGTCAAAAAAAAAAAAAGCAAATAGAATGTTAGGAATCATTTAAAAAGGTGTAGAGAATAAGACAGAGATCTTGTGGCCAAGTCCATGGTATATCCACATCTTAAATAGTCCGTACTGGGTGAATTCCATGCAATGTTTGTAACAATACATGCATTGGGCCAGTTTTACGTACCATAAAACCCCACTTTAATTTAAGCAGAGTTAAATATGGGTAACCAAGAGCAGTATCAAAGCTTCACATTTCAGTGAATAGTGAGCTAAATAATAGCAGCTATCAGGTTAAAAGTTGTGGATGTTCACAGTTCCTGCATAGATTATGAAAGGGAATGTATGAGGGTACATATACACATTTCCACATCTGAAAAATTCCATTCATTTTATGGACATACGCATCAGTTTAATTGTTTTATTTCTTCTGCTGCCTACAGGAAGAAACAATAGCATGTGTATGCAAAATTTAATTATGTGGGAATAATTTTGTATTTTATTACTTTAACTTATCACTCTAATACAGGAGGCAGTAAAATTCTTCATTTTGAAATAAGTATCTACACGAGCGCACACAAATGTATTAGTCCACATATTTGCATCACTGAACTGAAATGTAATAAGGAAACATTTCAATCATTCACATCATGAAACTAATGCTTCCTGTGATCATATAAATCCATTGGCTCTGAAGAGGTTATTTTTAGAAGCAACAAACCTTTAAAATATTAAAGGGTGTAAATCTGAGAGTTTGCCTCTGGCCATTTGGAGGAAAACAAATCTAGTTTTAAATATAACTTTGTGTACTTGTTTGTAATAGAAAAGATTCATTTACATCTGAACCACAGAACCGTAAAGCAGCTGATGGGCCAAATCAGGCTTACAGAATCCCAAATTATATCCTATCTGTGTTCATGCTGTCCCCATAACTGAAAGATGAGGACAGAGTCTGATTTTTCTGGGAATCTCCCAGTAAGGAACCATTCACCAGCCAAGAAGATACAAGTGCAAACAATTAAATTTATCAGAGTTAGGTGCCTTGAATTTTTTTTATTTTATAGATGATGTAAATGGACATGCAATTTTCATGTTCCTGAGCAGTTGTTATTGTGAATTGCCCTATCAAATTGTGATGCAAGCAAAATTGTATTTAGAGATCAGAATGAGACCTAATGTGCAGGGCTGTGTCAGACGGGATTTTATTCTGTGTTTATACAGGACCTAGCAAACCAAGATTGCTGGTCCATGATTAGGACTCGTAGATGCTATGATAACACAAATCATAGATAATAATAATGCTGCACTAGATGGACAGGACAAGTTTCAAAGCAGATTAAAATAGATTGAAATTTTTATTTAGGGTCAAGTTCAGCCACCTTTATTCATAATGAGTCATTGATTTTAAATGGGACTGCTGGTAGACTAATGTGTTACATAAGTGACTCAGTGTAGCAGAATTAGACATAAACGTACTTACCCTAAGCAGTATGTACCTTGGTAATCATAAAAGTAACAGATCTGCCATAAATAATGCAAGTCAGCAAGAGAATTGAAGTGTCCCAAGCCGCGCACCCAAAGTTTGTGTCTGGTGCAGGCCCTAATCTCATGAAGGTTTCAATGAGACAAGTGTGTGCTTAACTTTAAGCACGTGAGTAAACTGCTCTGATGGACTGTGACCAAACACTTTTTTTAAAATGCATGCTATGCAGTGTGCTGGTCCAGAAATGGAACCCGTCTGACAGGCAGTGCGCTTTAGGGAACAGGGAAAGTTCCAGTGAGGTGAATTGCTATCCTGGTTCAGCCAGTGAACTGCAGTCTGACCTGGGACAAGCCATTTTCCCCTCCTGTGTCTCAGTTTCCCCTCCCTCTCTTTCTCTATTTAGACTATAAGACTTGGGAGCAAAGGTTGTCTCTTGCTATGCATACATCATTTAGGCACAGCATAGCTCTCCGCTGGAACCTCTAAATGCCACCGCAAGAATAATGAATCTGTTCTCATTGGCAATGTGACCCCGGTGCATTTCAGTATGGAATGTTGAGGAATGCTGAATTATGACCATACGTGTTATGTAGGTTGCCAAGACGGAGCATCACATAATGTATTGATATTGCAAATGTCACAGCATAATAATCAGAGCCACTAGAAGTGCTGTAATTAAAAGTGTACATTCCCTTTTCAGTGAGACACACAAGGTACAGCTATTTTCATACTTAACCAGCTCTGAAATATAAACCAGCGAAGTTTAGAGATACCATGTGAACTGAAAATGCTTAAAACAAAGAGTTTGCTTCAAATAAAAAATGACTCCTCCTGTCCACTTCCACTGTGCTTAGAATCAAGCAGCTTAGCTCGATCTACAAATCATCAGTTAAAAAAAAAAAGCCATTCTTTGCAGTATCCTCCAAAGACTCCTTCCATAGTTGCTTGGTAATCCATAATCAAAATGAATGACAGATCATACAGCGTGATTTCTGTTTGTAGATCTCTGAAGTTGAATCAATGAACACATCTTAACACCCCTCATCTATACTACTTGAGCCCTAGATCTATTTATTTTTCACAAATAGGACTGAACACTCCAATTTAATAAATTGCTCAGCCTTTCTGTTCATTTATTTGTTCATTAATCTTCATAAAAATATAGCAAATCTGTAGCTCCTTCTGTATTACCTGCTTCTCTGTGGACTTCAGCAAATAAATGAAAAGTACCACATATGCGGAGAGACAGCTGTAAGTCTGGAAATGTGTGTGTATGTATGTTGTACTAGCTACATTTCCCTGCTCCCTATGGAAACGTAAAGCTTTGTATAGATTAATTTGTTATGCCGTGCACACACAATAGGGCACTCTGAACTAATGTTTTAGGAGAGTTAGAACAAAACAGTAAGTTGCAGGCAACTTATTGCTTTCTGGTATAGATCAATCAATTTAGGCCTGGTAATGAAATTTTAAATTTTTTAAGCAATGGTCACATTTCGTGCCTTTTCTGAAATATTTCTGAAGATGAAAATTATATAAAGCACATTGATGCAAAAAAGCAAACATATTATTTTTCAATTTGCAAGGGCATTTTTTAAATGGCCCCTTATGTTGTTCTCACAAAATCTGTGTGCTGGGACATGGACACGCCTACATTTGCATGTGCAGAACGGGTAGCTAAAAGGTTTAGATCGTGTACGGAGTTCTCATATTATATATTTTAGGAATGTGCATTTGTCTTTCTGTCTGACAGTCTGTGAGGCTGTTTGTTCAAGAACTCCTTCTCAATAGTCAGAGCTAAGACCACCAACTGTGGTAGGCAGCTTCCTCTTATCATAACTTAAAGCAAGGTCAGGGTTTGGTTATGCCAGGACAATGTGCTGTGCCTGGAATTTGATTGTTTGTCATACAATGGAAAAGGAGGAATCTGGCAGGAGGGACAGTTATTCTGCAGAATGACTACAGGAGTCAGCAATGGTCCAGAGATGGGGACCATGATAGCTATAACCACCATTGGGCCAGCAGGTGGCAGAGGTGGAGAAAGAGACAGCCATCTACTATATATTTCAAAAAATTTGTCTGTTTCTGTGTGTCTCTGTCCCCCAGTCAAGGGATATGCACCCCTCAACAGGCTGCAGCAGCCACAGACAGACACTTCTTATCTGGCCACAAGCTGTTGCTGTGTGAGAGAGGGCTGGTGTTGTCCTCTCTCTCCAAGACAGCCTGCATACTGAATCTCTCATCCACAGACCATCCCCAGAACAATTATTTAAATGAAGGACCCGAGTAACAACCTAGTGTATAATATAGAGCAAAACATTCAGGAGGAGTCACTAAAAAAATGCAGACAGAGCACAACTAATGCACACCGTACATTCACAGAAAGCTGCAAGGACAGGAGTTAAACAGCCAAAAGGTACTTTTCATGTTTAGAGGCCTACACAAATTACAGTGACACATCCATTTATTCTGCTGTGGGATATCTTACCGGGGTAGTGTATTTTTTTTCAAGGTCCAAATTTCTTGATCAACCTATAGTCAAGACTCAGACCCCAGAGAAAATAATAAAATAAAATAAATAAATAATATCCCAACAATAATGATAAATAAATAAAATTTCAGGGTCTGCTCAAAAGAGTCTGGTGTTCTGGATTTGGCCCACAGTCTGCCTATTGATTACACCTGCCTTAAATCATGTTAAGTTGTATCTTGACCCATTTTCTTACTGAAAACAATAACTTCAGCGCCATAACTCGAAATAAGATACGCATTTTGTGTAGCTTAAATAAGCCATAGGATGCATTTGGATGACTGATGATTAGGGTGATCATCCCTTTAGCCAAGAAGAGGGCTATGTGAATTCTGCCCAGTTGCCACATTTGAAATGTCTCAGCTAGCCAGACATTCCTGTCTGTATCTTCACCCACATAGGCAGAATGAAAGGAAGAGCCACATACCTTTCACATCCCTTGCCTTTTCCCTCCTTGGGGGAGAACCTCCTACACTGCCCCAGCCCTAGACTGCCCTGAGAAGAGGGAATAGAATATCTAACTCTGCCTAGTCTCTGTGGGGAAGAGACCAAAGTGGCACATGCCCTATGAACTGGACTCAGTACTCCTATACCCTCATGCACTCACCTTGGTTTCCCAGGATGGCTAAGGAAATTTCCTGAAACACTAGGCACCCCATGGGATGGGTAGGTTTGGATTCATGCATTAGTAACTGGTTAAAAAATAAGAAACAAAGGGTGGTAATAAATGGTCAGTTTTCAGAATGGAGAGAGGTGTCCCCATGGGGTCTGTATTGGGACCAGTTCTATTCAACATATTTATAAATAATTTGGGAATAGGGATAAACAGTGAAATGCTAAAGTTTGCAGAGAATACAAAACTACTCAAGATAATAAGTCTAAAGCAGACTGATAAGAATTACAAAGGGATCTCACAAAAACTGGTGACTGGAAAACAAAATGGCAGGTGAACTTCAATATTGATAAATGCAAAGTAATGTGCATTGAAAAGCATAATCCCAACTATATATACAATTATGGGGTCTAAATTAGTAGTTACCAATCACAAAAGAGATCTTGGAGTCAGATTTTTCTCTGAAAACATCTAGTCAATGTGCAACAGTAGTCAAAAAAGCAAACAGAAAGTTGGGAATCATTAGGAACGGAACAGCTAATCAGACAGAAAATATCATGTTTCTTCTACATAAATCCATGGTGCATCCACATCTTGAATACTTCATGCAGATGTGGTCACCCCATCCCAGAAAAGGTATACTGGAATTGGGAAAGCTACAGAAAAGGGTAACACACATGATTTGGACTATAGCACAGTATCCATATGAGGTGAGATTAAAAAGATTTCAAATTAGAAAAAAGATGACTAAGGGGATGCATGATAGATGTCTATAAAATCGTGAATAATATGCAGAGTGTATACAGATGTGTTAATTACCTTTACACATAACACACAAAAACCAAGGCTCACACAATTAAATTAATAGGCAGGATGTTTAAAACAAACAGAAGGGAGTAACATCTTCACATACCACACAGTCAACCTATGGAACTCATTGGCAGATGTTCTGAAAGCCGAAAGGATAAATGGGTTCAAAAGAGAACTAGACAAGTTCGTGGAGAATAGGTCTATCAATGCCTATTAGCCAAGATGAAAACCCATGTTCTAGATTTTCCTAAACCTGACTGCCAGAAGCTGAGACTGTGCAACAGGGAATTATTCACAGAGAATGGATCATTTGATAATAGCCCTGTTCTGTTCATACCCTCTGAAGCATCTGGCACTGGCCACTGCTGGAACACAGACCACTGAGCAAGATGGACCTTTGGTTTGACCCAAAATTGACATTCTTATGTTCATTTGATCCTACTGGAAACACACCCCCTCAGTGACAATTCCACATTTACAATGATACTTTGAGGCCTATCAGTTAATGAGTTTTAAATCCATTTAATGCATACCATGTTGACTTCATATCATTCTAATTTTGCATGAAAATGTGTTGAGTTCCCAAGTCAACTGCCTTATAGTCGTCTAAGAATGTTACATCCACACTCCAACCTTTATCAAGCAAACTTGTAATCTCATAAAAAGAAATCAAGTTAGTTTGATAGGATCTACTTTCCATAAGCCCATGTTGATTTGCATTAATTACATTACCCTCCTTTAGTTCCTTGTTAATCGAGTCCTGTATCAGCTGCTCCACGATCTTGCTTGGGATCAATGCCAGGCTGACAGTCTATAATTAAAGAGACAAGGTGGGTGAGGTAATCTTGTATTGAACCACCTTCTGTTGGTAAGAGTGACAAGCTTTTGAGCACACACAGAAGAAGAGCTCTGTATAAGCTCAAAAGCTTGTCTGACTCATGAGCAAAAGTTGGTTCAATAAAAGGCATTGTCTCACCCATCTTGTCGCTCTACTATCTTGGGACCAACACAGCTACAACATTGTATACATCCCAACTACTTCTATACTGGCATGATTTTCCGCAAATGCTTTTAACGGAAAAGTTATCCGTTAAAAGCATTTGCGGAAAAGAGCGTCTAGATTGGCACGAATGCCTTTCCACAAAAGCCCTTTTTGCGGAAAAGCGTCCGTGCCAATCTAGACGCGCTTTTGCGCAAAAAAGGCCCGATCACCATTTTTGCGATCGGGGCTTTTTTGCACAAAACAAATCTGAGCTGTCTACACTGGCCCTTTTGCGCAAAAGGACTTTTGCCCGAACGGGAGCAGCATAGTATTTCCGCAAGAAGTACTGATTTCAGACACTAGGAAATCAGTGTTCTTGCGGAAATTCAAGTGGCCAATGTAGAGAGCTGGCAAGTTTTTCCGCAAAAGCAATTGCTTTTGCGGAAAAACTTGCCAGTCTAGACACAGCCCCCTAGTATTAGTCTGGTCATTCAGCCTACCCTTTTTAAACATTAGCACATTAGCTTCCTTCTAGTCTTCTCGAATTATCCCAGTGGTCAGGAGGCTGTCAAAATTGCT